TTATAACACCCTGGAACCTTGCAGGCTCGGTCGGCAGGCAAAAGATTTTTTAATTCTTCATACTCAGTTTCGGAATAATGTCCGGGGAAAAGAGCGGGAGCACCCTGACCATCACCACCAAAACATATTTCTCGGATTCCTGAAAAAGTATTGCCTGGTGTGGCTCCCACAGGATTAGTTATCATATATAAGTTTCGTGGATCAGTTTGGGGAAACTCCTTGACCCATCACTGATTTCTTAAACCTTCCTTATTGAATTTAACTTCCTTAGACAAATAAAATCGGGAAGGATTATTTCTGATATATTCCTTAATGGCTTGCAAAATAGCGGGAAGGTCGCTCACCTGGTCTTTGTGAATAGTTGATTCCTCTGGCAACAAATCAGGATTAGGGTTAAAGAAGTGTCCGTCATAGCCAAAATTAGGGAATTGACCGTTTCTAATTCAAGTTAGTATTCTATTTTGGTTTTGCCTTTTTATTTCTGATGGCTTTAAATCAGTTTCAATATTAACTGCACCAAATTTAATAATTAATACTTGAGGGTTGTTATGAAACGAATGAATCCTTTCCTCGTTATCAGACTCTACTGCTACATCATCTTCAATAATTTTTCCTCACTCTTTCGGAATTTTTCCACGAACCGGGTAATAAGTGTGATAGATAGAATGAATTTTCCTTGGTCCTCAATCAATCTCAATTCCTTCATCTAGTCCTTCAAAAACGAAACTAGCAGGCGGAATAATTTTAATTCTGCTAATTTGCCGATTATCAGTTTTATCAACTTCGCGAGCCACATCTACTGTTATATGGTTATTTAGTCATATTTCTACTGAGTTTCGACTAACTTTTATGTTTTTTGCGTTTAAATCTTTTAATTTTATTGCCATATTTCTTTAATTTTTCTTAGGGGGAATTTCTATTTCTGCTTCCAATTTATTTTTAATTTCTAATTCTAATTTTGCTAATTCGCTTTGGATTTCACAAATATTTATTATTTCTTCTTTGGTTAATTTGCCTTCTCTCATTAATCTTTTTTTACTCCTTTCTAGTTGTCTTTGAACATAAGAATTATTGCTTTTGATTAATTCCCCTTGGGCTTCTAATAAATCATCCAAGTTTTCACAATCATCTTCATCTAATTTAATTTTAAGGAAATTTTTTAATGTTCATCATAGTTCAAAGCATGCTAACTTTTGCTCTTTTTGTTTTTTTCTTTTGGCAGCCTTTCGTAATCACAAATTAAGCTATTTACTACTTGCTGCTCTAATTTCATAATTGTTTTTTGACTTTACTCATTATTTATAAATCTTGTTTTTCGTAATGCCAGAGTAAAAAAGTGAAAAAGATAATTCCAGTTATTAGAGAAATAGGGATAAATCAGACCGGGTCAAAAAATCAGTTTTCGACCGATCAAAGTCAAGTTTGGCCCGGAGCCAAGTATTTCATTCAAAACCAAGCCACCGGAAAAAAAGAAAGCAAGGTCGAAATTACTCAACCCAACCGGTTAACTTTTGTTTTCAAAAAGAGATAAGGAGTAAAAATTAGGCTAAAAAACAAGATTGGTCCAACCATCGTCGTTCAGAAAGCCAATCAACTAAACCAACCAAAATTAGGTTTGACACCTGCTCACCAATAATAAAATCCAAACGGAAGTAGGAAAAGGAGAATATTCATGATAAAGTGAAAGGTTAAAAAGGTGAAAACCTTACTTCACAATAAATCACTTCTTTTCGCACCGGGAGTTATAGTTAAAATCGTGGCTTCTTCCCCATTTTTTCGCGGCTTAAAGAAAACATTATCTAAAACATGAAAAAACAATCAAAATAAAGCAATGGTTCCCGTAAGATTTCACCAGGAAATATCATTAAGGAGTTTTCAAAAAGGTTTTTCATTCTGATAATCTTTGGTTTGACAAAAAAAGAAAACTGTATCCGCTTTTCAAGGGCTATCAGAATAAATAGCTAAACTCCGGTCTTTCAGGGTTCTTTCGCTTATTTCCTTTTCTAATTTCGCTATTTGCTTTTTATCTTTTTCTTCTTTTGCCTCTTTTAACTCTTGCAACTTTTCCACTAGTTCTTTCCGATTTGAATTTAAGGTTTCTTCGTTGCTCCTTTTAAAAATGCTCCTACCTATTTTAATTTCTATTTCTTTCCCAAATAGCACCTTGGATCAGTCGCGAAAAGTTCACTTCTCTACTTGACTTTTTGCTTCGCGGGCACTTTGTTGGTGTTCGTTTTCCTGGCGAAGCACTTCTAATATTAAACTTTTTTTAGACCTATGAAGTAAATAAGGATAAACAAATCATCATCCCACTACTACCACTAATGTAATCAAACTAATTCGTAATCAGTTCCGCCGAAATATTTTTCCTAAGTGGTATTTATATAATTTTCCTAATTGTGACATAATCTAATTTAATAAAACGGAAGTTTAAAAGTTTCTCCAAAAAAATATAGTTAATGATTATTTTTCCTTATCTCCTCAAAAACTTTTTGAATATTTTGTTTTTCGGGTTCTGAGGTTAAGTGTTGAATGCTATTTAATAAGATTTGATACTGACTTTTGGTTAAAATCATTAAGTTCGGCGGTTTAGGTGGCGGAGAATGACGAAAAGTTAAAAAAATGATACTACCACCTTGCAGGCAAACCTATTTCTCACCCGGTTTACTATCGTGGGAGTTGTTTTTAAAAATGTTCAACATTTTTGACATTGCTTATTATTGTATATTATTTTTACATTCAAGGCCAATCAGTTATATTACATTTACTACATTTATTTTGCCAATAACAATCAATCACCCTAAAATATGGGGATTATTCTCATCACAACCTCAAACTAATCTAAAAGCATAACCTCATTGATTAAAAACTGGCTCATAAGCATAGTAAGAATACTGGTAATATTTACCTTCAAACTTTATTCTTTTCTCTTTTTTACTTAATTGTTGAACTAATTTTCGAATTAACTCATCCGTAACCAACTTTTCGGCTAATTCTTTCTCTGACAATTTAATCCCTTTTCTTTTTAATTTCTCTAAATACTCCTTATTGTGTTTTTCATAGTAAGGGCTGATTTCTAATTTAATTAGGTGCTGACGGTTAATAATTAATCACATTCATAGGGTCTTAAATTAGTAGGTTTGTGCGAGGGGTCTTTCCTGCTCATAAGGAATTTTGATTATTACTGGTTTCTAAGGAATGGGATAAAAAAAATCATAACCCTTGGCGGTCAAAACTATAAAATTATAAAATATAAACAAATATGACAATAAGAATAGCAGCAAGGGTTAATAGTATTGAGGTCAAGCAAAGAAAAAATAGTAATAACTATGTGGTAGCAGTAGAATTAGTTCCCGGAAGAATTAAGGTATGGGATGAAAGCAATAAAAAAATAATTCCGGTTGATAATAATACCCATCATTTTCGAATAAGTAACAATCCAAATGCTAATATTCGACCCGACACCCTCAGAAAAATTAAATTTCTTTATGAAAGTAGGAAAGGGGCTGAAAGACTGGCTCGATTAATATATTTGAAGAATTTAATAAGCAGTGATGATAAATTTGGAAAAGCCGAAAATGGAGGGGTGCGGAAAGGTGAATGATGAATTGCTACCCGAAATCTAAAATATGATGGGAGCGATACCGGAACAAATTACTTTGATAGTCTTCAAGGCGTTGGTAGAATAAAAGCCGGAAAAACACATTTAACCCTCGGGGAAGACAATTGAGCCAAACTTGATAAATATACGGAAGCATTTAATTTAGATGAGGAAGATTGAGTGGACGGTCAGGATCCTAATAATGTCAAAAGGTTCAGTTATCAGCAAATAGCAAACGATTATGTAGAATTGATGAAACTCTTTGTAGGGGTCGATAAAAGGTTAAAAGGAGAAAAGGACATTGATGAAACTGAGTTAAATAAGTGGTTGGCGACATTAAGAGAATATGCTAATCCGGCTAATGAATTAAAAAATACAGTTTATACTGCCAATTATGGAAATGACCTTGGTAATAAATATTATGAAATAAAAGTTAAAAAATATTATAAACTTCTTTGTGAATTAAAGGTTTGGAAAGCCTGCGGTTTTAACAAGGTTGAAGAGATATTAAAAGCGAACGCCAACGGGATTAAAATTGCTGAACGGGGAACCTCAACCGGCTCGGTTTTAATTGGTGATGCCACCCACCGAGGTTTGGTGGAGGAAAAAAGAATTGATGGCACCGATGACCCGCAGGCCACCGCTAATATAGCCGAAATTAAAAAAGTGCTAAGTGGGGGAAAATATAAAGGAGTGAAAGTTTATGATGTGAATAAAGAGCAAGAAGAAGCGAGTGAGTTTGAGGAAGATGGAACTATGGATAGTGTTACGATTAGTGGATTTAGTTTTAATACCATGAAAGTTCCCTATGAGAATTGAAAACGAAGAATTGACGCTCTTCACACAATATTTAAAAATGAAAGTGAACTAAGCCCAAAAAATTGCCGTGGTTTCCAACCGAATGATATGGGTAATTTTGCCAATGGTTTTAATGATACGACCGCTGCTTATCGAGGTTATGATATTTTCGCTACTGCCAAAGTTGCGGGTCGGTTAGATGGCGATGCCGAAAAAATAATTGCGGGCGGGAACAATCTCGAAAAATCCTATGAAGGTCGAGAACTTCCGAAGCATTGTTTTGAGATTATGGATGCGACTGTGGATGCAGTAGTAGAAATTTTACTGGGTAATAATAATTTTTTTGATGGCATAGATACCGGACAAATGCAATCAGTATTAGATAAATATTTTATTACGGCTCAAACTAGAATGAATGATACGAATTCAAATAAAAATGATAATGGAACTTATATTTATGAAGTGGCGACGGAAACTGATAAAGACAAAAAATACCCGAATGCCAAAAAGGTTCGCGAGGCTTATCAAAAGATGACTAATTTTTTGAAAGTGTTTGATGTAGACTATCGGGATGCGAAGGTTTGAAATAAAAGTAAGCAAAAGGAGTTGCAAAATGCTCATCAGTATCTTACGAAAATCCTGGCAGACTTAGCGGAGTTGAATAGTGATTTTGTATTCAATGAGGAGTGAAATAAAAGAATACTAAAAAAGATTGATGATATTGCGGCGGCTATTGGAACTGACAAACCAAGTGCCCCAACTGGCGATAAACCAACCGAAACAGAAATTAACGCGGCACGGGATGCAGTAGTTAGTGCTTCCCAAAACGATAATGAATTCAAAGATAAGTTAAAAGCGATTTTTGAGGATAACCGGAGTGAATTATTAAATCAAGATAAAAAGGTTTTAGAAGAATTAAAAAAATTAGCCATCATAATTGGGAGGGCTTATAAAAATGGAAATGAGGTAATGCCGAGTGAATTAAAGGCTTATCAGGAGGGTGATGCGAACCAAAAAAAGGCTTGAGAATTAGCCAATAAGGTAAAAGACAAAAATAACAAAAATTTGGCGGATAATGCTCTAACTTTGGCGAAAAAGCCGGAGCAAAAAGATGATGCGGCAGAATTAGCAGCGGCCAAAACTA